TTTTGGTTGGAAATGCTTAGTTGTAGTTTAGTTTTTCTGAGTTTCAGTTTTAGTTTTAGTGTTTTTGAGTAGCATTATATTTAGATATAATATGCCAGAGGAAACATTTAGGTAACTCAGTTGAGATACTCCCGCTATATTTTCATTTTATTTTAGTTCGTTTTCCAAGTTAACAAAATGATTAAACTTCTTTTTTTTTTTTTCAAAAGTCTTGTTTTTATTTTTATTTTAGTAACTTTAGTGTAAACTGAGACTTGACTTGATAAAAAAATGATGTGGCTCAGAGTTGCTTTTGAGACTTTATAGAGTGAGACTCAAGTCTAAACAAGAGAGCGCAACTCCCCCCAAAGGCCATGGACTATATGTAAAGTTCAATGTTTAATGTTTAATGATTTTTTTTTTTTTTTTTTTACAACATGTTGACATCAGCTGCTTTTATAACAACACTCTCATGTCTGACCTTTGACCTATGACCTTAGATACTAAAACTGTGTATTTAATTATTTTCTTTACCCTCATGATTGGAGCAGACATCTTTGGCTTCTATAAGCTGTAAAAAACCGAGATAAGATATATTCATGTAGTGTTTGAGTTTGTAACACTTTATGGTGTGATTGTAGTGCCGTAGGGCATCCCTGAAAAACTTTGAAGTCTGTTCTTTTAATGCCATTTCATATGATATATTACTCAATAACACATTATTATTACTCGATACTCAACATAAACAGACAGACTAACAAACAGAACCGCATACTTGCGCCCTGCCTTTGGGAGGAGAAAGCTATAAGACTGAACAGCAGCAGTCTTCTGAGGCATTCGGATCTATTGAATTGAGTTATATTAACACCACTGTGTGTTTTTACAGCTGTAATTGTTAAATTGTAGCTTCTTTTGTTAGTCTGTTTATAAATTAATCTCTGAGTCACAGAAGTCAAATAAACCAGTAACAAAGTAATGGGGAAGTCAGGTATATTCTTTTTCAGATGTATATGTTGATTTGAAAACTGAAACTGAAGAAGCTGAGTGGTATTCCACCTTCTGTAGCAAAGTTTTATCCTGTTAACAGAACAAATCACGCTAAACGAAGTGAAAAACAAAAAGACAGCGCAGCATTGACTGCTAAGTGGGGGGTCCCGCTTTATCTTGCGGCACCGTCCTGAAACACCTGTGCCTTTTACGCCGCTCGACATCGTAGACCACCCTCAAACTGCTGACCCTCTCTTGGCCTTTGGAAAAAAAAATGGTTGTAGACGTGCCATCTACACCTATGGCAAATGCACACCTGAGAAAATACACCTGATTATATGAGCACACTTCAAATTTCCCCCAGAGCTGTTCCCAGATGTTGCTCAAGCACATTTCGTGGGCCAGAGCAGGTCAGATTGTACTTGGAATGGAAAATGTGTATTTACAGTAAATCCCTTTGGGCAATACACAAATCTACCAAAAAAAAAACCACTTTATTTTTCAACTGCACCTCAATCAGTTGTTGTTGTGAGAATAACTTATTGCGTTGCGTAAATCTAGTGTTCTTTGGTTTACGTCATTATACGAAAACTCATGTGGAAACTGTTCGGTCACGACAAGCCACTGATTACTTCGACGAGAAAAAAACACCATCTTTTTGAAATGTGTTGTTGGCAGCTCACAGCACACCGAAGCAATCTTGAGATGAAAATATGCGATGCTGAAGTCAGACTATTTATTTAACTTTTATTGGTTCAGATTTAATGAAATGTCTAATGGTGAAGCTGAAACAGTGCGCACATTGATCTGGTTGTGATTGAAGTTATGGTCAGTGCGCTGTGTTGCTTACATTGGACCTGGACTCAGAGATTAGAATAATATAAGCACATAAGCCTTTGCTTGTTCTTAGCCACTTCACCCGTGCACCCCGGCACCTCTGGTTTTCTCCCCGCTCCTCTGCATTACCTGCAAGTTGTATAACTGCACAGAGTACCTCATGTTGCATTTGTGTAATATGACCACATTTTAGGGACTACATATCAAATTTAATGTTTGTGAAGAGATGATTGAACCATATCTTGTCAGTGTGCAAATCCATGAGCAGCAATGGACTCGTGCACTAAAAGCCACCCCCTCCTCCCCTTTTTTCCTCAACCTGCAGATGTTACATAGTGAGGGGGTGACTGGAATTACACTGAGTACAGAGACCCCTCTCAGAGCCTTTGCTTCAGTAAAAAGAAGAAAAAACCCATAAAAACAAATATATTCGACAGAAACCTAAATCAAACCACACTGAATCACACTACTGGGAAAAAATATGAAAGTGCAAACATACATGTTTGGGCCCACTGTGTTTCTTTTTACCCAGTTGCTTCTGTTTCATTTTAAGTTATAAAATGAATATTATGCAAACAATGACATATTCTCTATAGCACGAAGATGTTTTTATTTTACATGAAACACAGACCGTTGTTTTGCATATGAAAGATTACATTACAAAGTGATGGAGTCACACTCAGTATGTCTACCAATGTCTTACTGTACTTACTATATATGTTTCAAGGTTTTATCATTTTGAGTTATAGGTAGCTAGGTAGATGCAGAGCATACATGTATAGCTATGTACTGTGATGTGGTAGTAGAATAAGCCAAAAAGTATAAGAAAAACAACAAAAGCTCTAAGCACTCATGCTAATCGTGTATCTGATGGGAAAGTCATTTAATCAAGCTCCATTAAAATGACAGTGAAAGCAGTTTGTTTCACTGTCTGCAGCCATCTATCATGTACTCTTGTACAAAGTCATTAAAATGCCTACAAAGAAGTCTATTAGCACTTTTACTACATTCTTCTGAAGGCTTTTTTTCAACCCACGTGTTTGATTCCAGCAGATACTGCATCCTATAAAAAGAAGAAAACAGTGAAGAGAGAATCGTTCTCTGAAATCTTTTGTTAATATCACTGATATACTTACATTCCACTTGTATCTTTTGTGGTGCCATCTTTGCCCATGATGAGATACTGTTTCCCCATGTCTAGTTTTCCTTTGCAGTGAACCCTCTTAGCAAAGACTCGGACAGAGTTCTTACTCACCGACACATCGTTATCTAGTAGAAGGATTATAATTATTATATTTAAAGAAAGTCTTCAAATAAACATAATGAAAGGCAACAATAGTTCACTTACTCGATTTGAGAACCTCAATTATAAGAGTGGTGTACAACTCAAAGTTACTCTTCACAGAAATACTGGAGACCTCAACGATGTATGCTGGAATACAAAACAAATAAAGAAATAATGCCGTGATTAACACCCAGAAAAATGCTAACAAGCTAACTAGCAAACAGTAAATATTTGATGCTTTTCACGTAAATGTCTTGTTTAGAATACTGACCGTAATCTACGATAGGGAAGGAGCAAGCATGTCGGACACGGTTAATCTTCCAAATTTTTTGTCTTGGATCAAATGTTTTTTGTAGGGTATGGCAGGGTCCTATAAAAAGATTTTTAAAAAGTCAAGACACTTATATTTTTTTTATTGTTTTTTTTTTTTTTTGTTTTTTTACACAAAATTACATAAAATTAAAAACAGACATGTTTCTGTTATGGAAGTCCCAGCATGGACTCAGGATCACTTTTCTGTGAATACAGCTATTGGCTTCATCAAAGTCATATATTAGCACATCTGGAAAGGCATCCTCAATTCTGAAAGGTCTGTATGCATTGCAGAGCAACATATGCTGCCATCCAGGCAATATATATCAGGGAAGGTCTTGCATATTTCAGCAAGACAATGTAAAACCATACAAAGCATCAAGTTAAGAAACATGATATTTTAGAAACGAGCCTGGGTGCTCAACTAGTCTGCCTGTAGTCCAGACCTCTGCCCAAGTGAAAACATTTGGTGCTTGACAAAATGTAAAATATGACAAAGAAGACCCACAGGTGTCGAGCATCTCGAATCCTGTATCAAACAAGAATTGGACAACATTCATCTCCCAAATGTCCAGCGCTATTTCAGACATACAGACATTTACAGACTTTTGTTTTTTGAGATGCGTTGCTGCCTTTCAATTAAAAATGGGCTATTTTTTTTTTTAAAACATTTTAAGCAGTTTAAACATTTAATATCTTTTCAGTTTTATTTTGAATAAAATATGACTTTATGAAATCTGAAAATCACTGCATTCAGTTTTGATTTTGATTTTAGACGGCTGTTTTAGATTTGGGGGTGTCATTGTAGTGTACTAAATTTTTTTTGTACTTTCTGCGCATTCGCACACGTCCTCTGAACACAGTTTGGATACCATCTTGCTTCTTTGTGGTGCAGAGTAGAACACAGTACACTTTCTGTCTGTAGGAAAAACACATAGTACTATTTATGAAGTCCTATTCAATAAAAGAGATCACATATGTGTTTGTATAAAGAGAGAAAGAAAGAACGACAGTCTTACCTGGTTCATAATAATCATAGAATGTGGCTGGAGCAGGCTGTAGAAGCCCAACTGGTACCAGTTGTTTAGCTTCAAACCTAATACATTCCTCATCCTCTTTCACCTTCACAGAGATAAAAAAGTAAATCTAACATTTGACATGTACATTTATTTTCCATAACCTGAATTCATCCATACCTCGTTGAAGTAAATCAGAAGTCTTCCAAAATACGTCTCATAATGGTCAATGTAATGTTCAGGTGAATCTTTTAACTGAGGGGAAAAAATTAAACAATTTTGCATTTTAGCAGAAAAAAATAATCTTCTGAAGTTTCAGTGTGAGTACAGGTCATTCCAGTTTCACATGTAACTTTTATTATAATATTTTTGATGTGCTCTTTGAAACCACAAAATATTTTTTTCTTGAGTTAAATGAGATTTCTGTATGTTAAATATAGCTAACTTAAAATAACTTCACACATAGATAAAGAAAAGATCTAAAGACTAAATACATTTTTTTCATAAGTTTTTTTTTTTTAATAGATATAACTCTTTAACAGAGAAAACTAAAGGCTTGTATTTGTTTACTGTAAATTTGCAAAAATGTCTTATTAAGGTTATCAATTGTGTTTTTAAACTAGGCACAAAAAGTAAGATCATTTGTGTTTGGTCAGTTTTTTCTTTGTTGTAACAATACTTCTTGACAAGAAATCTTATACTGCTGGAAAGCCTGTGTTTTACCCTTAAATGGCGCCACATTTGTAAGCAAAATATATATGTATAGTTCTGTGTAAATAATCATTCTGTACATACAATAATTTTTAATCCTACAACTGTTTATAACTTGCATAGTTCACATTTCTGTATAACTGTATATCTCAGATTTCTGTATAGTTTTTTATATTTATATCCTGTTCATAGCCTGTACATACTTATAGTTATAGAATATTCATAACATACTTCATACCGTGTACATTATAACATACCATAATAGACCCATTTCTGTAATATACTTACATATCTATATTATTGCTAATATATATTGTAATATATCTATATCATGGCTAAAGCACTTCTGGATGGATGCAAACTGCATTTCGTTGCCCTGTACCTGTGCATGTGCAATGACAATAAAGTTGAATTCTATTCTAAAATGCCTTTCTGGGTTAAGCATCACAGTTGAGTATGTGGGTTGCTCTGCCAATGCCAAACAGCTTATTCTCCTGTTGACTCTTGTTTGGTGTTGTTTATTGGATTGAGTGATTGAAGTGTGAAGCAACAAGACATGTTTGCATCTTAATTCATTTGTTTCACAAATATGGGCTTCAGCAGCATGTGGAAGAACCATACACAGCTATAAAAGCCTGGCACCTTGTCCTCATGTTGGTCAGCAGCCCGGTTACACACTGCTGTGGAATGATTTCATGTTCTCACGCTGAAAACAGCAGCTGATAACCACCTTTTGTGTAACCACTAAGTCTGATTACTTATGTTAGTTTCCTGAGTATGATGAACTTACTTGGAAGTAGTATAATGCAGTTTATACAGGATCGAACCTTCCATATAGGCTTCTTGTCTTATTTTATGTTTATTTTTTACATTTTTGTAATTTCTAATTATCAGAATGACACCCCAGCACTTGTCACAGTGCAACTCTGACAAATATTGACTCAAAGAATGTTAAAATGAAGCACACCACATGCAATTCCCCTTCAGCGTAAATAATTACATTGGCATCGAGATTTGTACATGTCTAGAAAATCTTCTCTTACTTTGTAATGGGAGTAATGGTGAAGAATACTAACCTTATCCAGGTCCTCCGTTTTAGCCTCAAATCCACTCAATAATGTAATATCGGCAATGGCCATTCCTGTAAGATTCCTCTTCTTACTATGACCATGAAGACAAAAAACAAAAGGACATTGAGAAAGACATTGATCAGGAAATGTTTTTTTTTGTTTGTTTTTTGAACTGCACAGCTCATACTCTGAATTCATATTCATGAAAAGTAAATATGAATTTACTGGATCTCATTTAACTAACCTGACACAGACAGTGTAGGTAACAGCCTCATTTGAACTGAAGTTATTATCAATCTCTCTCCTGTATCGGGTGTGAGCATCAGACCCCTCAATGGCTGTTCGTCCCAGGTCTTCCTGGTCTTGTTTCTCGTCATCATAGTCATAGTATTCATAATTTTCTAATATCGGAGCTAGATAGACAAAGATTAATGTAAGTGTGTGCCTTTTATCAGTAGTTGTGATTTGTTAGCATTTACAAATCTTACCAGTGTACTTCACTTTCCCCTCCACTCTGACACTGATAGACACCTGGTCACAATCATCCTTGGGTTCCAATAAATGGTAAGCCTTAACAATCTACAAGGGACATTTAGAGTCAATTATAGATCTGATTGATAATATATAAAACAAAGATGTGAATCCAACATACTTTAAGCTTAATTTCTCCTTTTCCAGTCAGATGCACGGTGATGTTGTTCCCTGTAAATTTCTAGGACAATGGAAAAAAATAAAATAAAATAAAATAAAATTAGAATGAGGTTTAATATCATATAGATATGTCTGAGCGCATTGCTTTATGATACCTTCAGGCTGGTCTCTACTTTTTCCTTCTTATTTTCTAGTTGAAGTGTTACAATTTCATTCCTTCCAGCAGATGTGAAATCTGCTTTCAGTTTTGGTTCTGGACTGGGAGGCTTTTTTAACTCGTACTCTGCGAGGGCTTCCAGGGCCATGAGGGTATCCTGGGAATGGTAAGAATTCTTATTAATATAATGGTTGACATGTCTTCCCTGACAGTGAATAAATGGTGTTAAACAACAGATGAAACAGGAGTTCCACACAAAGATGGATTCTCCAGCTCTAGCCTAATCACCTGTGTTGACTTGAAGCCTCCATAATAGTTTTCTCTGGAGTTTAACCAACAGGCTGCTCTCTCTGCCCAGTTTATATGCCCAAGCTGAACAGCAGTTAGAAGGACATAGGCTGTCGTCTCTATTGTGATAGCATCCAGCTTTGGGTTGTCATTAACTGCCCAAAAATAACAGTCATTCGTTCCTAATAATAAAAAAATACAGAATAATTATACAAAAATTAGACATTATATGATAATATAGGAAGAGGCAGCACATATAATTTGGTCATAGTAATAGGTTATTGTATGTATAGTGCCAACATTCATTTGCTTGTACTGGACATGCCTTTAATAGCCGCTGCTTCCACTTTTTTCCATATATGTGAATGATCTGTTGTATTTGGCATGCACACTGAGAGGCAATAGGCTGTAATGGCGACAGCATAGGGATGCTGCAGCTCCTCTACGAGTGACTGGAGATATGATGTTGAAGAGGAAATACTTGGTCTCTGGAAGAGAATAACATAAAGGTGGTGAATTATTTTTTGCTCATATTTGTTGTGAATTATGGGCTAACTGTGGCAAATAAAAATTAACAATTCTCAATGTAGCATCAATTATTTTGTGTCCCTGAACCTGATGAATGTCCTGTTTTTATCTAAATAGCAACAGTAATGCTAACATATAGAACGTTTTTCACAGGACTCCCTGCAGGTGAAACACTAAGTACATCCTGACGCCTTTCATAGGAATTAGGAAGGTAAGTAGCAACCTAGTGCTTCTAATTAAATGCACCGGAATAACTGATCATTTGTGAGCGTGCTCACCACTACAAAAGCAGGAAATTTGCCATATGCTTTGGTTATTTTTCTCTTTTGTGTAATATTCCATCAGAGTTTATCATTTAAACGCTGTTAAACTGCAGTCTGGACTCAGATACCAGACTGACTACAATTACCCACTTGTAGTCAAAATTACTCAAAACTAGTAAAAACAGTACAGTTGGTTTTTAATATCACCACTCACCACTTTATTTTGCATATCAGGCTGGAGAAATTTGACGGACCGGTACAGTGCAAGAGTTATGAAAGCAGTCACTGATGCATCTTGGTCTTTGCCTATCTAGATTAAACACACAGATACAAAGTTGCACTCAGATCACTGTATTTTGGTTTGTTGTATTCAGATCTAAATGGGAGACAAATTAAAGGAAAAGAATGAACATTATAAAATGCAGTGCATTGGTCCATCACATGCTGCCAGAACAGCTTTAATGTAACTTGGCATTGACTCGACCAGTGTCTGGAGCTCTGATAGTAAAATAGTATGTCCTTCTTCCAAAAATATTCCCTTCTTTTTGTGTTTTAGTTAGATTTAAAGATGATGACTATGATGACTATTTCAAAGAAACCGCTGCCATCAGGATGGAAATGGGCCAACCAAGGCTTTATGACTTTTCCTTTAATTTGTCATCTGTTTATACCCCTAATGTTCTAATTAGGGGTGCAACGATATACAAAATTTACAGTTCGGTTTGATACTTTGGTGTCACGGTTTGATATTTTTTCGATACAAAAAAATGTTCATGCTTTTTTAATTTGTCATTTATTAAAATTATAAATATATATTTTAACTCAAAAGTACAGTTTTTAAATTTAATGTTGCTGAAACAACAAAGTAATAAAAAAATAAATCTATCTGATCGAGAAATCACTCATCTTTGGAAAAGAGAGTTTATTACAGAGAAATGGCTCTTTCCAAAATAACAGCTATACTATACGCTTCTTCTGGGCTATATTCTCAGCAGCATATTAAACATATCAGGTCCCCATAAGGAGAATCATGTGCTAACGGCTGTCTAA